ACTTGTGGCTCCCTACGACGTACTCGTCGAGATCTTGGTCGGTAAGAATGTCAACAACTTTGGTGGACCACGTCGAGTAGCCAGCAGCATCCTCGAGCACCTTGATGCGATACGCGGTAGCGGAATTGTCGGACATTGTATTTATCAATAACTCGGCTCGCGTCCAAGATCTGCAATAGAATCAAGGATTGGGTGGTGCAAATGTGCTTTGTTAAGTGATAGAACACAAGTAGCGGAAGGTACAACAGGTAGTTCAAGCGCGAGGGCCAATAACCTATTGAACTGTTGGTGTGGGTGTGTGGTGGTGAGGACAACAGTGGTGGGTTGGATGTGGGCTGAGAGTAGATTGTATTCGATAAATTTACAGGTACAATACGGGGGCCTTATATACTACAGAGAAAGAGTCCATGATGTCATAGGTGGAGTCATAATTAGTGGAGTCATATACGAGGCTGTGCGCACTAAAGTGCTGCGCACACTAAAATGCTATGTACACTGAAATGCTGTGCGCCCCTCGAGGCTGGCCACATTGCTGTGCGGTGGAGCCGTATGACTCGAGGTTTGCCACGATGCAATTATTCTCCCAACATTCTGCACCCTCGCTGACACTTAATCCGGTGAGTCGGTCGAATCCTTTGAATCTCACTTATTTGCGTCCGAACTTACCAGTTTTATGCGCAAAGGAAGAAGGCCTGTGGCGGACGGTCCGCACCCGCACCATATACAGCTTTGATGCGCGTTTTTGCGGGGCTGCTCGCTCGACTCGAGCCCTGGCCATGCGCACGAAAGCGGGTTTTTTTCCGGTTTCCTCGATTAGCCATCCACTAGATCTACAGGCCCCCGCATGTCATCCCAGTCACCTCTGACCTGTAGCCATACTTGAATGGCCCACGTTCCAGAGGAACCCGACAGACTGTGCACAATCTGCATCTCGCTACTCAACGTTCATCTGCATTCTTTCCGCTCGGGCATACAGCACGAATCTGTAAACACTTGCGTCCTTCCTCCCTCCGTCTGGTTCTTCCCGCATGATACTTGGTCTGTTCATCGTCTCCTTTTTCGCCAACATGCTTTTGAACATTGGATCGTTACGATGTTGGCCGGACCCCCGGAATTCAGATTCACAGTAACCTGGGTTTTACACGTATATAAACAAGGCCTGTCGCGGTCGGTCCGCACCCGCATTTATCAATCGAGAATACGCTTTCTGCGGGACCGCTGGTTCGACTCGAGCGCGGACCATTGGTCGGTGTGCATTAATATTTTTTCCTCGTCCTTCAGTCCGTCGTACGCCTTCATTGGACGCCTCGGTGGGCATTGGCATTTAGCGGGAAAGGTACGTTCTCAATTGCTCTGCTGCATGTCTCCCGCTTACCTTGGCTGAGATAAATCTTTAATGCATACCCGGTATCGAGCGCAGCGGGAACCCGACTGCCAAAAAAAATGGCTTCCGCTGTCGTACGCCTTCGATTTCGAACCGTTGTCCCCTCCGTACTCACTGGCAATTACCCGGAAACGATCTAGCTTGAGCCAAACGGACGAGGGGACTGGAAATTTGGTCTGCGTCCGTGCGTTGAGTTTGTCTGTCTCCACATCCGGCGGCCGGACTACGCCTCAAGGGACAAGGTTCTTCTGCAACATCCCGAATAAAAGAAGCGCGACCTTCGTGCCTGTGCGGGCATCGAACCTCGCCTGATGCGACACACAAGGCGCCAGCTTGACTAATTCAAGCGGGCGCATCACCCATATATATCTGGAGCCCTCCTTGACCTTAGCACAGAACGACAGGGGCGATGAACGCTACGCTAGGTTGGGGGATACACGTTCAGTTCATTTGCAAAAACACACAGTGTTGCGTTGTACTTTGATTCGTCCACATCCGGACAAAACCTTTCGCCTCGTCAAATATGCCTGCACCGGGATTCGATCCCCTATATCGTCTCAACTGCGCGGTTATCTCCGCGTGAGGATGCAGGGGAGCTGAGTTGCTTCAAGGGCTGGAAGGCACAGAACCGCATGTCTGCTCACCATCAGCCTCAAGGAACTGAACATGCTGCAAAATTGCGGACGAAAATCAGTAATCACGATCCTCCTTAACCCCAACAGGTGTGGTGTGCTACCGAGGTGAATGAACGTCACAGGATTCAACACCCTCAGGGAAGCCCGCCTGCTGTAAGAAAAAAAGTGTTGGCCATCCATCAGACGTCTGTGGTGGGATTCGAACCCACATCTTGTCCCCCGTTTGAGGTATCCGTGGAGTCCGAGATATTGGGCGGGAGCGATCTACCTTGATCCACACAGGCTTTGACGGAAGGCCTCTAGGTTTACCGAGTGCACGTGTGAATGTGTATCCGGATTGCGTCGGTCTCTCGTTGCCCAGCTTCAATGATGTATGAACAGTTTCTCCTCTCACATTCAACAATGTCTCTTCATTCCATTTTGCTGATGGAGGGTGGAGCCACGCAGCATTCATCCCAGTTTCACGCGGAGTTCATTTCGTGCACGATTGGGATCAAAGCAGCATGTGATCGCGTTTGATGGCATTGCGTCATCTGGTACACACAGCCAAACACGCTTTTTGCGCGTTTCCCTCTCCTTTCCCCCACCGCTTCGCTGATACCTACGAACTCCGGCCCGCATGGTCGTGGACTCGACGATAACAACGACACTGCAGGGCTGCCAAAGCGCCGGCGGATGATGAGAAGAGAGGAAGGCGCCAAGCTTAACAGGTTGCCTGGCGAATGACCGGTGCACGAGGGATTTCGTCGTTTGTCTGCAGTATAATCTTACGCCCCCGCCGCTCCCAGTCTTTCGCCCTCGCGCAACGGCAGGGAACGGCAGCAGGTACACCGAGCTCTGCGGCAGTGGTTTCAGTCTGGCAACGCAAAGGGGTGGGTGTTTAACGTTCAACATTTATCCCAGGCAACTGCTCACCTTCTGATAAAGCTGACAGCGTCACAGGGACGCTTCTGAGCCGGGTGGCAATGGCATTGCCATTACAAGGGACGCGCCAGATGCGTCTTCACAGGTGTGATCCCTTCGATTTATCGTCATATCCTCATTCAACTCCCTTCTCTCGACCCAATGCGACTGCTCTCTGCACGCAAGCGACTTGGACTCGGTCGGTCCGACTTGCGCGATGCCGAGCTGTAATTCTTACAGTGCTTTTCGGCTCTTTCGCGCGTTTGCTGTGCGGGCTGCTCGTTCAAGACTCGACCGCGCGTGTTCCGTCGTACGGACGGAGGGGGTCGGTCAAAGGCTCACTAATCCTGGACGACGGCTCTCCCCGCTGGGGGTATCTTGTATCTTAGCTCCGAAACCCCGTTGTCTTCAGCCCCCACCTGCCCTGACTCACGAGCGTACTGTGCTGACCTACACATTACTTCCCACTCGCTCGGAGGAACAATTCCGTCCAGTTCTGCACCTCCAATCCGTCTTTTTGGCTGGCTGTGTCCTTTCTGTGCTGAACAATGTATGTTCGTCTCACACAAAAAGTATTCCATCAGCTCACGAGGTTAATTTTGAGATTTGCATCCAGGGATTCACATCAGTGCCGCGCTCCGAGCAATCATGGATGCCCAGTGTGCTACACCGGAGTACAAGGCCTATAAGGGACAAAAACCGCAGCAATCGGATTTTATTCGGTGGGTGGTGGCTCCTTCGACTCGAGCTTGGGCCATGCGATCCATTCCACAGGTTTTTTTCTTTATTCACGCGGAAGAAATGCTACATCAATGGTGTGGGTGAAGATTTCGACGCTCGGGATGCTGAAGTAGCTTTTCAGGCGCATCCGGCAATGGAAGTTCTGATCCCAGTTTGTGTGCAAGAGCAGGCAAGAGCGCAATCTACCTTGATTCTCTTTCGTGCGGCCCGGGCACTTATTCCTGGTTCTCCGCCTCGTCCAACCGCCCTGCAAATTGTGCTCCGTGGCTTTTTCCAGCACTCGTTCCCTGCGCTGGCGCTCTCATATCGGTAACTATATCGATGTTCTGTTGCTCCGGGCGTCTGAGTGCTGCGATATTCAAACTCGCCGCTTCGTTTTCCACATTTTTTCGAAGTCCTCTCACTCGACAGCCTGCTGCCTCTCCCCTCAGGAAGAACACCCCTGAACCGTTGAGGCAAACTCGCGCTTGCAGTGTAAGGTCCGGGGACGATTAGGAACAAAGTCAGCGTTAGCGTTGCAGGATAGAAAACAAATCGCTCAGGCGCGGCATTTGCACGGCATCTTGGTCCGCTCTTGAGTCTTAGAAAGTTGGACCTTGGCCGCATTTGGGCCACATGCTCTGAGCCTGGCTCTTCTTCGCCTCAGAGAACCACTCATAATCTGGCTTGCCGGTACTGTATTCGGATACGCACTTGCACACAATCCACAGATACGGGATACCCTTCACAGCTCGAGATCGAAATCATTTTGAAATCCCTCCTCCAAGGAGTCCGACATTGAATTTTTCAGTTTCGGCGTATGGTTGCCTGTCAAACTTCACCGAGCACTCTAAGCTCCCCATACACAGCCCCTTGAACTCGCTCAATCGACTTGGTGCCTTACGCCGCGTGTACGACGTGGTTTCAAATCTCGCTCCCACGGCCCGCGCTGCCCTGATGTTCCGCGGCTCCTTGGCAGCATCCTCACCGAATAGGTCCAGTAACTTTTCAAAACAAAGGAAGGTCATTGATGCCATATGCCTTCCGCACTTGAACTGAACCCGCATTGATATTAGGCCTTAAGCAGTTTCTTTCTTCTTCGATGAATCACTACCCGGAGGGCGTGCCCTACATTGGCCGGCAAAGGCGATAGAGTTGGGTATACGTATTGTGTTGTGGAGCGCTGATCTCACAGGGTTTTCCGGGTTCGATTCGCGCAATGGGGATGGCGGAGGGCGGATGAAATATTCGAGGTGCGAGCTTGCCATATTAACGCCCAGTACTCACTCCATACCGTTCAAAATCTTCCACAGCCAGAGCCCAAACCAAAAAGGAAGAGACATTGCTCCCAGACCCAATGCCTTCGGCGGGATTTGAACCCGCGTCTCCTCCGGAGTGGGCACATCCGGCCAATCTCGTATCGAGCGGAGGTGATCTAGCGCTGATCTACGAAGGCTTGTAACTGACTACGTGGGGAGTTGTACGACTTATTCCCAACAGTCGCATTACGGTCGGTGGGGAGAGCTTCCAGTCATCGCCGTTGAACTGAACTGTAACTCAGTGTGGTGAGTCTCGGTGCGTCATAAACGCATTTTTTTCAACAGCTAGATCCTTCTGCTAGAATCCGTATGCACCCTTACTCGATGTCGAACTGACGAACCACTAAGTAAAAAAAGCGGCAGGAGTGGAAGAGGCCCTCGGTGAGAGTCGATCTCACTTCCGCTCGGGACCCAAACTCGCCTTCAATAGGGACGGTGCTCCGCTGCGAGGGCTTGGTGATTCCTGCGAAGAACCGGCAGTGTCTCACTCAAGGTCACGACAAACCGGGAGAACACGGTCGATAGCTCTCATGCGAACTTACTGTTCTGGATCGCCGGTCGGGTACAGACTCTGCGTGCATCTTCTGTGGAATCCTCCTCATCTTGATTCTAGTTCTCATTAAGCTCTGTCCTCCTGGTCCCACAAAAATCTGTGTGTTCAGTGGTTGTTCTGCAACCTGTCTTCGACATTGCTTCGCCTATGAGCAGCAACCTCACCCAAGTGCCACCATTCCTGCCATTTTTATTTTCGCAGGTCTGACCAAGCTCAGTGAGGAAGCTCGAACTCTGCACCGATCCTACCCCCAAGTTCCACACGCATAGAAACAAGACCTGTGGCTGACGGTCCGCATCCGCACCAAATTTGGCCCCCTTGCGTTTTCTGCGGGACTGCTCGTTCGACTCGAGCTCAGGCCATGTGACCGCCACCCCCCTTGTTTTTTTTTCTTCGGCTTTTCCGGCACTCCTCTCCCTGCTTGTTCTGTTCCTGCACAGGTCGAGCGGACTTGTATGTTGCCCTTGATTTCAGTGGGGAAAACAAGGTCTGTAGCGGACGATTCGGCCCCTGGAGATGTCAGCATGTCCGTGTTTCGGCCGGGAAGCTCGTTCGACTCGAGCTCGGGCGATGTCACGGGTAGATAGTCAAGGTTTTTTTCCTCTTCGGCTTGATTTCTGGTTGTGTTCCATTTACAAGGGGATTGGCGGTCGCTCCACAATCCATCCTTACCGCGCTTCCATAAAATGCTCAGTATACTCTATACTTGGTCCCGAGGGACGAGTTGTATCACCAATGCACCGCTCCGCCACCCTCTTGCATTCACTTGGTGAGATTGAAGTTTAGCCTGATATTGCATACCACCGCCACTATTGACTCACACAGAAAAAACAACAACCACTCGTTTATGGCTGGGATAGGAATCGAACCTATAAACCTTCGAACGAAGGTGATCCACACACGCCTTTACGATCAGGCTCACTAGCTATAGGCCGCTTAATTTCGCTGTTTGAGAGGGTGGACTGGGTTTTCTTTTTCCCAACGTATACTACATCCCGGCCACCAACGTGAAGTTGAACGGGGAGTGGTTGATCGGGTCGGGTTGGCAGCCACCAATGCTTCTAAATTCCGGGGATTGAGTCGTTCATGTTCTAAACGACGGACGGAGATTTAAATAATGGAACATAAAATGTGAGCGGATAAGCACATTCAACATGCCTTGGAGGGAATCGAACCGCGCGCCACTCGAAGTACATGACCGCAAGTTTGGCCTGCTCAGCCAAAGGTTGGGGAAGTGGATAGTGAGTCAGTCATGCTACCCACTAGGGTAATTGTCTACGATTTTTGGTTGGAGGAGCGAGTCAGCGACACCGGCGGAGCTTTTCCATTGTAAAAGCAGGTGTGCGCTTTGAATTCGATCTGGAATAGAGGAATAGCCGGAGATCAACTTCGGAGCAGAACACCCTGCCTCAACCACAAACAGTGCGCCACGTCTTTACTAACATCTGTCTGCCCAGATGGATTGAGGCTTTAAGTTGAAAGCGCTCGGCGTATTGACACACCCGTGCTGGTGAAATAAGAGCCCACAGGCGAGAAAAAAAGTCACATAACCGTCGCTGATCTATGCCTGAGGGGGATTGGAACCCACAATCTCTTCCTTGTGAGCTCCCTAGCAATGGCTTGCGTAACTTTGAGAAGCGATCTACCTTGATCCACCCAGGCCTCAGCCTTAAAGTGCTAATCAGATCCGAATGCTGTTGCCGCATTGCCAATGTCGGAGCGAGTAGCGCTGCAAGAGTACTAGTGTAAGCGAGGAAATAGCCCAAAGGATTCAAGAGGAGCATAAACAAGCTGGACTCCCTGTAGCATACGCGAGCCACATCTGAGAACGCGTCATCAGTGCGCACCAAATCTGAGGATTCAAATTGCAATTGCAATCGCGCGCACGCGGAAGTCCCAACGACATGTGATCGCGTTTGATGGGACTCGTCATCCGGCACTCGGCACAGACACAGCCACTTTTTGTTTCTTTCCTCGTCTTTCCTGCGTCCTCCAAAAGCCACGTCGTGGCGTCGACCAGCCCCCGTTCGGACTGCAGCTGCGACTCGACCAACTGCCGGAATCAGGAAAGGGAGCGGAAGAGCCGATAGGAGAAGCCGCATGTGGCACAGTGGAGGAGGAGCTTGGTTTCGTCGATGCCCGCCACCGCCCACCATCCCCCAGCCCGCGTCTCCTCGTAAACCATGCATTATCGCGCTAATGCAACACATGGGCGAGTATAGCATCGTGCTTCTTATACTTATCGGATACCCTCCTCCGTTTGCGAATTGCGCACCCTCCGAGCGAGGGCGTGCCGGCGCCACGACTGGAGTAGCAGTGGCCTCAGCGGGAACCGGCGGACGGTACACACTTGGCTTTCGTTACATTTGCGTCTTGCGACATTGACCGGTTGACGGACAGGGTGCTGAGGCCAGCACTGTTGCGAGAGATTCTGGGGGGTTTCGGCAGCGGGATTCTTCGTGAACCGCACGCGCAAGTCAAACTGCGATTCTCTCTACTGCTCCGCTTTGTCTCAGGCTACTCTACGTCAACAGCTTACGTGGCCCCACTCGCGCGCGGCTTGCATCTGCTTTCCGAAATCTTCAAGAGACGTGTTCAAGAGACGTGTTTCTGCATGCATCTTCAATCTTGCCAAGCTACTCAACTGGGCGCCCCACATAAGCATACCTTCCTGCGCTCCGTTCCCTCCTTTGGGGTTGACCCGCACCCAGAGACTGGCACACTCGTTGCACTATATGTGTCTGCGCTCTGCATTCCAGAATCATGTCCCGCCACCCGCTCATCTGCATCCGCAGGGTCTGACTCTCGACAACACGCCTTCGATCCGGCCTGGTATATCTGGTCCTTCGTCCCAAACCCTAATTCATGCCGCCCGGATATATACAAATTCGGGAATTATTTACCAGCATCTACGCGGTATGTGGTTGATTGCGAACCTGGCATTTGATGCCCGGGCGTGCATGAACGACCTCGGTGTGAATCACTCGTTTGTGCCTCCCGCGATGCAAATACTTCCGATGTTGAACTGTGTCAAACAGGGTAACAATAAGGTCTTCGGCGGACGGTCCGCGCCTGCACCAGATGAGAGGCCCCCACACAGTATATCTGCAGGGCTGCTCGTTCGACTCGAGCCTCAGGCCATATATCTGTGGATTTGCGGATTTCTTTTTGTCAGTGTTTTTTTCTGATCCATCGCAGCTTGGACAACATTAACCATTCGTCTCTCAGGACCCAGATCCCCGCTAGGTCGCGATTTTTCGTGTGGATCACGGGCTAGGTGCTTGCTGAAATTTCCGATTTCGAGGAACTGACATTCTGACGGACAGAAAGTCCCATCTACCTCGGCTTCGGTGCTCCTCGTTGAACTTGCACTTCACTCTTAACTCTACCTCACTTCGTTCGTGCTTCTGTCCGGCTACTTACTTTACCTGCCGCAGATGTCACCACTCATCTTTGTCTTTCTTTCGCAGCACTCCCAGCCCTGTGTCTAACCAAGCTTCCAGCCCAGTGAGGAAACTCAGACTTTGCGCTGATGCTAATCCAGGTTCTGTGCCCCTAATAGCAAGGCCTGTAGCGGACGATCCGCACCCGCAATAGATACTGAAATAGACTCGGGGCACTTCTGCGGGGCTGCTCGTTCGACTCGAGCGCAAGCCATGATCCTGGGGACAACCTGTTTTTGTATGTTCTACTTCGCCGTGAAAGTCCATGCTTGGACTATCAAACACTCGCATTTCGAATTGCTAAGTCATACATCCGCGCGCACCATGGTCCTCCACTGTGCTTTCTGGGGGCTGCTCGTCCGACTCGAGCTTGGACCATCTTGCAGTCCTTCCCCTGCTCTGTTTTTTGTCACTCCGAGTCGTTATTGTGTATTATGTAGAGTCATTGACATTTGGGCACTGGCTCTACCTGTGGGTTGATTCTCCGGTGTCGAATTGGAGCCCATGGGGGCGACAGTGATCGAGTGCGCAGAAACAGAATTCAGCCATGGGAACAGAGCGAAGACAGAAAAAAAGAAATGCCATGCGTACACACGCCTTCGACGGGATTCGAACCCATGTCTCTTCCTTCAAGAAATAGTAAAAGAGCTATGTGGAGGCAGGGATCTAGCTTGATCAACGAGGGCTTACTGAGGTATTCTTTGACCGCGATACGTTCGAGAATGAAATGGAGGTGAATGGGTGTCTTGAACGTCCGACAGCTTACTGAAATGCAACATCTACCTTTCTACCCCCACTCAGCCGAAGCCAGATTGGTTTCTTCCGCGAGCAACCCCTCGAGTAAGACTGACGCACATCCCAGGAGGCATCCGTCCTGCAACTCTCCGCGGACTGATTTTCAACAGGATGGGTGCAATCCAACCGACTTTGGCAGCAAAAGAGCGAAAGGGGCTACATTGCCACGCCTCCGATGGGAGTCGAACTAGGCTCGAATCCAGCCTATCTATCGAAACTTAACTGTGTCGATAGACAGGCTGGTCGATCTGAGTTTGAAATCCCATAACGCGCGAGATACCCCATATGGGATATATGTAAGCAGCCATCAAAATCTTACGGTCTACAGTTCGAGTTGTTATAATTA